AAATAGAAAAAATTGCGCTACCCGCGGACTAGAACCCGGATCTTCACCTCTCTGAACTTAGCAGGACAACTTTTTCTCAAAGCAAAAATTCCTATCGCATAATTTGCCGTTAATTATCCGTAACTTATCCGTGAAAAGAATAATTTTGCCCCGGACATATTTTAAAAAATATCCACGGAAGTTAGCAGGGCACCTGCTGAAAACCAATAAAGGAAACCAGCTAACCCAAACTAACTATCTGATAATTTGACGTAAATTATCCCTTAAAAGAATTATTCAACCAAATTGAGGAAACCAGCTAAACCCAAACTAACTATCTGATAATTTGCCGTAAATTATGCGTTGTTTATCCGTGAAAATAATTATCTTGCCGCGGAAACATTTTAAAAAATATCGCGTGCCCAAAAATTCCTATCGCATAATTTGCCGTTAATTATCCGTAAATTATCCGTGAAAAGAATAATTTTGCCGCGGACATATTTTAAAAAATATCCACGGAAGTTAGCAGGGCACCTTCTGAAAACCAATAAAGGAAACCAGCTAAACCCAAACTAACTATTTGATAATTTGCCGTAAATTATCCGTTGTTTATCCGTGAAAAGAATAATCTTGCCGTGGAAGTCAAAATCTACGGTCTATTTTTTCGCGGAAGCCCAACATTTACACGAACATGAAAATATTGTCGGTTAACCGTCAAAGCGAAACCGAAATCGAACGTTCGGTCGAACACAACAATGGCACGCTTTCATCCAAATTGGCAGTCCTGATCTCTCTCGCATGGCGTCACATGGCGAAGAATTAACCGTTGTCTCTTCTCCAAGCGCATATGTATGTACATATATTTGTAAACGTACAGTTATGTCGTCGACTCCGACGTCTAATGTTTGCGTTCTTTAAGCACTTGCTGACTCCCTCCTGGTTAGGTTTGTCTATGAGAGACGCAAACATTTCCCCTCTCTCTCGCGTATGGCGTCACATGGCGTAGAACTAAACGCACTCTCTTCTGCAAGCGTAAAAGTAAGACGCCTTTTAGACACGTAAAGTCTTGCTTTCAAGTCTGCTCGGTTCGTTGGAGAAGGAGGTGTGAAGAGAGGGGAGGTGAGAGGAGAGAGTAAAAGGGGTCTAAAAGCATGTAAACGTTTACCGCAATCATAATATGAACCTTTATGTGTTCGAATCGGTCATCTGCAAATTCTCCGCTTAGGCATGTCTATCAACGACTCAAAAATTTAGTTCCGTGCATGATGTCGCATGGCTAGGAATTAAATGTTGGCTGTTCTGCAAACTCGTAGCGCAAATTTATTTTAAAATTGATCGGCCTCGCAGTGTGTACTGTCGATTTGTGGACTCGAAATTTTCAAGCTTTAAGTTGTTACAAAGTGTTTATTTGCTAAAATGAGTTCACGTCGTCGCGGAAAACCGAGTCTCGCTGACTCAGGTGCAGTTATTAAAGAAATAGTTTCTCATAAAGAAAAATTGGTTCAAAATGGACATATTTTAAGTGCTTCAAATGAAATATGGACGCGGCTTGCCACTGACTTGAAATTAGCCCCGTCAACTCTGTACTCATATGTGGTTAATGATAGATACCATTTAAAATAAATACTTATAAAAAAAGGTGCCAATGAAAGTATGTACAGTGAAGTGAGTGCAAGGGACAAGAGTGTAAATTCGTCTGTAGCTTCCGTAGACGAAACTCAGAAATTTTCCTTTACAATAAATAGAGGAAATTTTGAAAAAATGATAACAGAGTTATCATACTATACATTAAATAATGGCACAAAAAGGCGGAGGACGAAGACGATTTTGAAACCTAACCTTTGGAGTGATCAGATCTCGCACGACATTAGGGATCATTTGAAACTAAACATGGCGCACCATTTAGGAAGTTAGCAGGGCACGCGATATTTTTTAAAATGTGTCAGCCGCAAGATAATTCTTTTCACGGATAAACAACGGATAATTTACGGCAAATTATCAGATAGTTAGTTTGGGTTTAGCTGGTTTCCTTTATTGGTTTTCAGAAGGTGCCCTGCTAACTTCCACGGAAGTTAGCAGGGCACTCGATATTTTTTAAAATGTTTCCGCGGCAAGATAATTCTTTTCACGGATAAACAACGGATAATTTACGGCAAATTATCAGATAGTTAGTTTGGGTTTAGTTGGTTTCCTTCATTGGTTTTCAGAAGGCGCCCTGCTAACTTCCACGGAAGTTAGCAGGGCACTCGATATTTTTTAAAATATGTCCGCGGCAAAATTATTCTTTTCACGGATAATTAACGGCAAATTATGCGATAGGAATTTTTGCTTTGAGAAAAAGTTGTCCTGCCAAGTTCAGAGAGGTCGGATCTTCCGAATGCCGCGGCTGTACTTTGCTAACTCGGTCATTGCGATGGTTGGAGCGAGGTGAGCTAAATGATATACAAGTGCTTTCCCTCAAAATAGCTTTCCACCAGAAGTGATGAATGTGAGAGCTTTTTTCTAAGGCTTTTGCGCTAGAATAACAAACGCCTTTCGAACTACTATCTTGTCATCTGTCTTTCATCTGTCTTAGAAAGACCTTTTACCATATTAGGCAGAATGGCCCTGTTATAGTTTTATCTAAATTGTTCCTTTTTAATTTAAAATTTAAAATTTTATGCATCGATGTCAATTTAAAAACTATAAATATATCTATAACTCGAATTATATCTATAACAAATCTGTAACCATATCGATTCCGACAGCGATTAATATATCGAATAACTTGGACTATATCGATAACATTTTCCATAACTACTCGATTATGGTGTCGATAACATTTACCATACTTACATCGATTATAATATCGATAATATTTTTCAATATTACATACATATGTATATCGATTATGATGTACATAACTTTTTCTTGATATCATCGATTATAATATCGATTTCACCTCATGATCCCAACAAAGCCTTGTAAGTGCTAAATTTATTCATATTATACATTCAATTTTCATTTCCAAATATAATTAACTTTTATTTTTTACGACCTTTAAATTACTTAAAGTCCACATCGAATCGCTGCATCGTAAATATGTATGTATTTTTCAATTTGCTTCCGCACTAAAAATTATTTATGACTTTTTGTCAACAAATTCTCGCGTTGCAATGTTTTTTCCCTTTAAGTGTTTGTGTCAGCTCCACGTCACTTGGCAACCGCTTTGTACTTGTTCGCGACTCAATGCATTTGGGTCAGCGCAGCTGCCGGTGACGGATATTCTACATTTCGACAAGTAATGTCTATTCTCATAGCAAATGCTTACGTTGCTATGTATGTATGTATGTTGCATTTTAATCATTTTTTGACAATACTCTTACATTAAGTGCCACTTTTTTGTCAAATCTGTAGCATCGTCATAGAAAAAGGCTCATTCCAATTAAAATTTTCTAAAGTATACTAATGCATATGCATGAGCCGAACTCATTAATAAAATTAGCGCATTTGTAACAAAATAGAGAATATCATGAAAAAGCCTATTTCGAATGCTGCAAATCAAAAAAAACCAAGCGTTTGTTATGCAAATCATTTTACAAACCTGCATAATGTTCTAACATTAAATATAAAGTTTTTAAGCAAGTCAAGAATTGAACTTCGTTCTAATCGGCATTGTGTCACAAATGAGCTTACATCGCTGTGCTACATACTATGTAAATGTTTTTAGCCTCGAAAACACCAAAGGGGAATTTTTACCAGAATAAGCTCGGGCAAAATCATTTTATTGAGGTGTCGAAATTACTATGAAATATAATCGATCCCTAAGTTTTTTAGTTTCTATTTGTAAACCCTATTTTATAACACAGTTGAGAACGGCAAATTGAATTTGTTCTCTTTTGAGTTGTTGCTAAGCCAATTTAGTCCTGAGTTCAGACAAATTTTTCTAATGCCACTGAAAAGTGCAGAATAGTGAATTTCCCTTCACGTGGCTCAACATCATAACTCATGAACAAATATTCAAATACATAATAGCTTCGGGGGGTTTCTAAAAATATACTAACTGGCGTAAAGCGTTTCACGAATCTTCCTCTGTTGGCAGAATAGTCAATTTCCCTTCATGTGACTTAAGATCATACTTTATGAATTCGTATTTATGACCCAATTTAGCTGAGTGTTAAATAATACGTTGGCTAAGAATAAATATTGGACTAACAGCTGCGGAGAGTCTCTGGAGGATCGTGTCAGCACATGTTTTTTTGGTATGTAAAGACATTATACATAAATCTTGACATCAAAATAGAGTGCGAACTTTATTGCGGAAAGAATAATTACGACTAATAAAGCCATTTTAATAAATGGCTTTATCAAAATACTAATTACATGGTTATACCAACGCTGGAAGTAACGAAAATGTCCAAAAACCATAATTTCTTTGTATGGCATTTTTTATTTTGCTCCATACTACCCACCCTGTTTGTTATCTTTGCTTACACAATGCAGCTTTTGAAATATGGCTCCTTTATATTTTGAAAATAAACAACCAATCCCAAAGCGGCTGCGTTTCAGAAGTCGGGGTTTCAATTTTTACCGTTTTTGAGCTACATATCCTCTAAATCTGAACGATATGTCTAAATTGTGTATGTAACGTAAAGATTATCATTATTTAAGTAAGTTATCATTAAAAAAGTTCGTCAACATTTGGCTTTATTTAAAATATTTGAGATATCTGAATGTGAAAAATTGTCTCGAATGCCTTTCATATAAATCCTTACAGAACATAACAAAACGTCTTTCAAATGGATCTGGCTTTGAATATGTNAAAAAAAAAAAAAAAAAAAAAAATACATATTGCTAACCTTAACATTTTTAAATTATTTTGCATATTTGTATGTAAATTTTCGGGTATTAGCTGATTCTAAATACAAGTTAATGAAATCTTTTCTATAAAAATATTTTGTTTTTAATCTCTTACCTTTTTTCGAATTTGGTATCCCCAAATAATTTTTTATTTATTAAACCCTCTCATTGTTTATTTACAGATTTTAAACATGGAAGACGATTCAAATTGGTATCGTGCCGAATTAGACAGTAAAGAGGGTCTCATACCCAGTAACTATATAGAAATGAAAAATCATGAGTGAGTATGAAAACGCTTTGAGCCGAAAAAAGCATTCCCTTAAGACGTTTGAAGCTTTAAAACTCAAAAACACTCCAAATCTTTGCTGAACTCTCAGAGGTTGTATGAAAAGTGTTTACGAGTTTTGGGTTTTGCAAATTTAGGCGCTTAACCGAATCCCCTAGTGTTTTTTTTTTAATTATTTTTCTCAAATTAATTACTAAATTCCCTCCTTGTTTTACTTACAGCTGGTACTATGGTCGCATCACACGCGCCGATGCTGAAAAATTGCTCTCAAATAAACACGAAGGCGCATTTTTAATTCGCATCAGTGAGTCCAGCCCTGGCGATTTCTCCCTATCAGTCAAGTAAGTGAGGCATAAAATTTTCAAAATACTTACATAAGCAATTTCATCATTACCACGCCCATTTTTTTCACACAGATGTCCCGATGGTGTGCAGCATTTTAAAGTTTTACGCGATGCACAGGGTAAATTCTTCCTTTGGGTGGTTAAATTCAATTCACTCAACGAGCTAGTGGAATATCATCGAACCGCAAGCGTGTCAAGATCACAAGATGTTAAATTAAGAGATATGATACATGAAGAGGTGAGGCGTTTAATTATTGCTTAAAGCTTAAACAGGCGGCAGCGTTGATCCCGATTAACTCGGTCTTAATCCGGATCAACTGCAGTTTATTCCCGAGTCGATCCGGATCAACGCTGCCGTCTGTTTATGCTTTTAGATATAGTACTTTAAGCTACTTAATAATATTTCTCTTTCCCCTACAGATGCTCGTTCAAGCATTATACGATTTTGTGCCACAAGAATCTGGTGAATTGGACTTTAGACGCGGCGATGTTATCACCGTCACAGATCGATCTGATGAGAATTGGTGGAATGGTGAGATTGGCAATCGGAAAGGTATCTTCCCAGCAACCTATGTAACGCCATACCACTCATAATAGAATAGAAAGTCGTAAAATAAAATATAAAAAAACAATATAAAAAATAACAATAAAAACACTGCACACAAATACAAAAACAACAAACAAACGAACACACAAAACAATACTGGTATCTAAATTAAAATTTAAAAAAACGAACCACCAACAGTAACAAATATTTGCCACCATTATTTTTCACACATTTTATAAAAACGCCAAACACTGCTACAACAACAATCAGAACTATTATCAGAAAAGTAGGAGTAACAACGGCAGGAAGAGACACTGCAATAACACTCGAAATTAAGATTAGCAATGGTAATAGGGATACAAATGTTGTGTCAACATTTAAAACTACAACCATCAATAGTTGTGAGCTGTCTCATCAGCCAAGAAATTTATTATCTTTGAGACTATTGCATGCGAAACATCACAGCCTCATTTTATTGTTTTTTTTTTTAAAGGAGCGCTTTGTTGCAGACAACCTTTTAGCAATTTTTATTTGAGGTTAGAGATACATATATATATATTTAAACGGTAAATTACTGTAAAGAGTGTAAAATCAACTTAGCGAAACTCTAAACTTAGCTGCCTTATCATGTATCTAAAAGTCATAATCCAATTAATTGTCGCGTACTTTAGGCACTGAAAATTATTGCATGCCAATTTGAAAGTTTAGTTTTAAGAAGATTTTAAGTCTATCCCAGGCATATTGAACATATTTATTATATTTTACATTTGGTCTTTAATTTCCATTTTTGCTAACATTTTACACTAAACTTTTACCAATTTTACCTATCTATATCGGCTTTTTATAATTGAAATTTGTCACATTTTTTTGTCAAATTCATACATTTTTTATGAAATTTGCGACGGCTGGCAATGGTAAACCTCCCGAGTGTATTTCTGCCTTAGTAAAATTTCTCATAAAATCCATTTGCCATTCGAAGAAAGTTATTGACCAAAGCGTCGACAATTTTTTGGTCGAAGCCGAACTAAAGTCTAACAAAATTTTTTTGTCCGAACATAATGAAAGCCGAGTTGAAAGTTGGGTACTTCCCTAGCGGCCCGTGTTGTGCAATATATTCTCGACCTCAAAGAGAAAAAACTCGCCTAAGAGATACATGATAATGCGTGCTTGGTCAAGTAAAGAAACACTTTATTATGTTTAATTTAGAGAACGATTAGTTTTGTCGAGAAATATCAGTGGAATCATGCAATTCAATCGCAATGGAATGCATTTTATACAATTTTTAATTTCTAACCTCAAAAAATTGTTTGTAAGACATCCCAAAAGTAATCACAAACACATACATATATACCCAGAAAACACCAACAACCACATACCAGATATATAAAAATAAACCTACTAAAATTATACCTTTGATATGCATTTTTTTGAATAATTTTAAAAAGGGGGGTGTTACTGAAAGTTTGTTTAAATTAAATGTATGTAAGAGGTAAAACCAATTTGTAAAAAAAAATCGATTTTGATTTTGCTTTAAGAGCAGAAACGAACCTGCATAAAGAAACAATTACTTATAACGGTAAATTGTTTAACACGTTTTCGTGTATTTTAAAGCTTTTTCTTTTGTTGAAAAGTTGAAGCGCTTAATTTTCAAATGAACTTTTATTCGCTGCGAACGAGTTTTGCTAATTTTACAAATTACACAGTCTCACAAAAAAATTTTTTTTAGCCAAATTCTGTATCGGTGCCAAAAATTGTTTTACACTTTTTCATATATTTTTCCGTAATAAAAACTGTGACAAGAATTTGTCACTGTTACAAATGTGATGACAATTGTCACTCTGAAAAATTTGTCACGACAATAGCGATAAAACTAAACACATAGCTCCGTCGGAATGTTTTCACATGAGAATTTTGTAAAATTGTTTATATCGTAATTGCGCGCATTTCATCAGTTTTCAATAATTTGAATATTTCTTTAAACTAAAAGAATGCAAATGCAATTATTACATATGCATTACATAAACATTTCTTATTACTAGCGACCATTTTGTCAACGACAATTTTAAAACCCGACTATGATAATTTGTCACTTTTTCAATGGAATTTCTCATGGAATTGAAGCGGTGGTGATAATTGTTTTTATTAAAACAAAACAACCACCAATCTGTCTAATTGTTACTGACAATACAAAAAATTCCGATCACTCATGTTATAAAATATGCACCAGGTGGTCCTTTCATTTTTTGTTCAATATGGTAAATTTCTAGTGTAATTCAATTAGTTTTATTAATTCAAACGCTTCATTTGTGTGATTCTTTAGTATTTAATTGGGTGGTGAAAACGAAAATATCCTAGCCTGTTTCCCCGCCTAACTTTTTTGAGGGGCTGTGTAATTTATAATTTTTAAGAAGTCTTCACACAATTTGTATCTTGAATAAATTGCACCTTTTCAAATTTACACTTCTTTTTTCTTAATTGCTTTGTCCAGTTTAAGAGGCTCTTAAATGCCGCCATAACCATCATTTCAAATTTCCTGCTTCAATTTTATGTGCTTGAGTAGTTTTTAAATTTTGTTTTAGCGCTTGCAAAGTATTTATTCGTCTTAATAATGTGTCATGTTTTAACAATTTTATTTTTTATGGATTTATTTTAAATTTTTTTTTTTGTAAGCAATCAGAAAAAAACTAAAAGTTTTGAGGTGGTAAAACACATGAAACGCAAATAAAAAATGTGCTAAGAGATGTTAAATAAAAAAATAATAATTAAAAAATTACAAGCATATATATAAATAGCAACCAATAAGTAATAGTTTTACTAGTTTTTTTTTCATATACATACATACATGAAAATATTATACCAACATACATACTACAAGCAACGTTTATGCATTAGGAAAGGAAAGGGTGCAAATAAAAAACACAAAAATAGGTAAAAAATGTTTGCGCCTAAAAATGTAAGCGTTTTTTTGATTTTAAAAAAACTTTCTTAAGAACAAAATCCGTATATACAAGTACATATGTAAGCAGTTGAAAGCGTGCTGAAAATGTACTAGATAGTACATACTACCAGAAAACATAGGGAAGTGAAAAAGTGTGCAATCAATTTTCTTTTCAAGAAAATGGCAACGAAAAACAATTAGTTGTAGCAAAAAAATTAAAATTGCACAACCAGCTTCACTCCAATCAACATGCCTACATTAAGGGTTCTCGCAGTTATATGTATATTGCCATAAATAAAAATAACACTTAAAGTTATACTAAAACTAAAAAATTGGCTGCGTGCATACAGATGCATACACAATAAATTTGTTTTAATGTTGAAAGTTTTTAAACAAAAACTGGCTACTACATTTCTTTTACTTTCTATAAATTTTAATTTGGTGCAAACAAAACATCTCAGTGCTAATTTATATGGACGCTCAAAGTATCACTGGTTCGTTTTTGCGCTTACTGCCCTATTCACTCAATGACAGAACCAATCGTATTAATGGATTTAAATACTGCGCCGGAAAGTGTGCCCAAAAAACTTTGGCTTTAAGTGCTCTAAAAACTACAGTTTTCTATATCACAATTTTTTATGTTATGGTTATGACCTATTTGACCTATTGAGTGCGTGAAAACGACGAAACAATGCCTTTTTTCGGTAGCAAAGTTTTAGGCGCAGTAGTTAAATCAATTGGTATGTAATGAGTTTTGTCACTGGCGTGGGCGTGGCGTGGCGCAGCTATTAATCATTACTTGCAGGCAAGCGTCTCACACACATGAGTACTTGTTTCGTGCTTTACAAACAAAAGCTTTAATTTTTTTCACTTTCTTATTAAACGTCGTATTGATTAGCGCACGACAGCTTCTAGTTTGAAATTTTATTTAAATCTTAAAAAAAATATATATATAAAAATAGTCGCGCAAACTTTGCATTTCTTTTAGTAAACCACCAAGTGTAAAGCGTCAGAAATTTAGAAAAAAAGCAAAATAATCACATTTTTACTTCAAAGATATTAATTGTAAAATGATTTAACAGATGGGAATCAATGCATAAATAAATCTGAAATGGCACAGTTGTTAAGCAGTTAAAGAGCACAACCGCATTCATTATACATATGTATGCATATTAAAATTTAAATGATTTGTGAACCGTTTTTTTTTTACTCTAATAATAATATAAATATGAGTATGTGTTTATTTTTAATTTTTTTTTGTATTAAATAAGGAAACGATAATTTTAATTTGCATAAATTATATAACATACATTTATATTATACAACAACATATTGTACGTTTATATGCCTTGATATAAAATATGAATATGAAATAAAAATTTAAAAATAATATTAGTAATAATAATTATAGTAATGAAGTTTTTTTCAAAATAAAATATTCTATAATTTACAAAATAACTTTTATTTACACTCACGGTAAAAAGTATTGGCACAGAAAAATTTTCGCAAAATATTTTTTTATAAGCATTTGGTCCATACTACAAAAAAAACATTAAAATTAGTTTGTAAATTTTGTGCAAAACTAAGGAAAATTCAATAAATTTTCATGTAAATGTTCAACATTTTAACCAGAACTTTAAGAATTTTATTTTAGTATAATAAGGTGTAAGTGTAAGTGCAATTTTTGTATGGAAAAAATGCGATACACGAATAAATAAATGAAAATCTGATTAAAAAGTTTAAAATTTACATGAGAAATAATTGAATTTCCTGAGTAAATAATAAAAAATAAAAATATAAGTTTATGCTTCTACCTTCCATCAGCATAATCGCAATGGTCAATTAAAATATTTTAAAATTAAAATTAAATTCCGACATTTTGAGCTTGGCAGGAATTTTTCCGAGTTCACATAAATCCTACGACAGCAATTTGTTCATATTCGTAGCGGAGTGCATTTCTGTGGAAAAACTTGCCGCTTCTAATCAAATAGACTCTCAAATAAAAGATAATTCTTAACTGGCTGTCTTCACGTGCTGGAAAATCTCGCTTGCCTGACGACGCACGTGTAGACCGAAAAAAGTACGAAGCATACTATTTCTTGCATACCGAGCGGTTTGCGAATTCTCGCATGCTTTCAACTAACATTTTTGTTGTTTGACAGGTATTTTCTTATTTGGCAAATTCTTTAGAGTAGAAACCATGTTTATTTTGGTGGAATATAAAAATTCAGCCTGAAAAACTTTAATCTTCTTTTTTGGCGACATTTTACAAATGAAAAAGTATGCTGTCAAATGCCCAATCAACGAAACTCCATCTCACTTGCGAGAGCAAAAAAGTAGAACGCAAGCGAGATATTCAAGCATGGGAAGACGGCCGCTAAGAAAGAAGGGCAACTTTATTAAAGAGGATATTAACACAAATTACGACTATTTTTTTCTAATAAAATGCTCAATACAAAGAATAGACGAAAATAGGAAGAGGACTTATTTCACTCTACCTGTGTGTATTTGAGCTTAAATAGATGCGGAAGTGTTGCTTTTTAAGAATGAGCAATATAAAAATGTTTATTGACGTATTTCTACAGAATTTCAGTAGATTATGAGTTGAGCATCAGCGTATCAACTAGAAAGCATCAAGGCTGCAACATTGCGGTAATTAGTTTCGAACATACCCAAATTGACATAAGTTTGCGCAAACTATCGAGCTCATAGCGCGCAACATGCAACATGCAACTCTGGGCAGTCCCGGCAGTGTATTTGATCCCTAAGACTGGGTTCACACAGGGAAAAATTCGTTGCCTTTATAAAAAGCGGCTCATCAGAGACAAAAGGTTATGCTCGCCTTATTGCAATATTTCGTAGAAATCAAATTATCGATATTCTCTAATAAAGTAAATTTTTACTTATTAATGACGAAAGTTTTGCGGTAACTTGCAAAAAGGGTTTAGAACTAAACAGTTCGGTATTTGGAAACGCCATTGTAAAAGAAAGAAATAGAGTATAATACCTTAAAGAGTACAAATGATATTCAAATTTAAATGTTATGTTTTTGTTTTGTTTGAAATTTAAAGTAATAACCAATTTTCATCTTTTGCTACGATTTTTCATTTTTTAATACGATTTTTGTGGCATTTAAGACGCAATCGGTTTCGTGAGGTGCCAACCCTGCACAGATGTCACAATTTTGACGTTATCTTTCAATGACATTTCTTGATCCATCGTTTGTATGTCAATTTCGTTCAGCGGTTTGCATTTTTTTGCACAGATCTGGTTGCAGTGCATTTTCATCGGATCGCGACGTGGAAATTTGTTTGAAAAAATGTGCTTATGGTAAAATATTGGAGTTTTCAATAGCCGCAATGAAAAATGTGTAATAAAAAATTCAATCAAGCAGAAAAGTTTTGATAGATCGTCGAATTGTGGAGAATTTAATGCGTGCGTGCGTTTGTATTTGCGAAAAGTCTGCTGTTTTTTTTTTTTCTTGTAGCTGAGTTGGTGAAAAAACTAGCGCAACTCAATTGCTGACTTCGGAAATGTCAAACACGTGAATTATTTGCAAAAGATAAAGGAAAAGAAAAACCTGTGCAAAGAAGTGGAAAAATCAAAAATCACCCCGAACAGGAAGAAAATATTAGATATTTATTATTATATTTACGCACATAGTATAATTTAAGTCCATATTTGCTTGTGCTAATTGAAATAAAAAAATCTGTGCTACTCGATAAATAAGCAAAATAATCTGAAATAGTGTGCTACCTCTACTACAACAAACAAAAATTTCAATTGTACCAACGGAATGCCATCAATCACCTACAAGGAGCGCGTACTCAGCGCACAACAGCTCAAAAAGCTGTCGGAACACAAATACTCCTGTAGCAGCAGTAGTCTGTTGGATCCATGGCTACAGCCATGGTGGAATTGGCTTGTCTCAAAGACGCCACTTTGGCTGGCCCCCAATCTCATTACAATCATTGGACTGATTGTCAACATTGTGACAACATTAATATTAGTATCGTAAGTATATAAATACGAATTTAATTAATATTTTACGTATCTAAGTACTACATAGATGGTATCAATACATTTTAAACACCAAAAAAACTTTGCATTTTACAGCCGTAAATTTGCTTATTGCGTAAACTTTTCATGGGTTCTCTAGCGGACGACCAACATACATATGTATGTATTTAGTCATGTACATACAGAGTGCCTCGTTGAGAGTTGGGAAAGCTGTATCGGCTTAAGCACTTATTTGTCATTTGTTTAAGTAAAACGAATTTGTTGCTATTATACATATTTGGTGCAATCGTGGTTTCGCCCACGGCGGAAGGAATACAGAGGTGGCGCCCAGGTTTCGCCTATACACTTTCAATTTCCGTAATACAATTCACACCGATTCTCACTTGCAATGCATTTCCCGGTGCTGATGACAACAGCTGCTACAATAACAACAAAAAATGACGGTGCCTGCGCCGCTTGAAAACGTGCGCGATTGTTTTTTTTTTTGCGAATGGTGGGAGGGTTTAGGCGAAACAAACACATACTACCTATTTATGTATGTGCTTCTAAAATCAGTTTGTGAAGGCACATACAATGTATGAAGTTATATGGATATTGTCATTTGTAGTTGGTGCAAGTAAATGTAGGAGATGCTGAAAAGGTGATGAATGATTAAATAGATTATAAAAATATTTGTATACTTACACATGCATCCATGTTCAATTATGTACAATGAATTGCAGGAACGGAAAAGTCTGGAAATTCTGGAAAAAAATAGCAAAGATTTACCTATGTATATGTGTATGTACTGTTACTACGTTTATACGCACGTATTATTTGCAAATAACAATTTGCAAAATGATAAACTTTGCGGTATAGACGCTGAGTTAATTTTTTATTTGCAAGTAACTAAATCACGCAAATAAGTATGGATTAGTTGTACTATTTGCAAATAAGCGCAAAAAGCCGCCATTCTTAGGTTTATTTTCNATACGCACGTATTATTTGCAAATAACAATTTGCAAAATGATAAACTTTGCGGTATAGACGCTGAGTTAATTTTTTATTTGCAAGTAACTAAATCACGCAAATAAGTATGGATTAGTTGTACTATTTGCAAATAAGCGCAAAAAGCCGCCATTCTTAGGTTTATTTTCTCGATGGTCATCTTATTGCCTTTTTATAAACAAGACGTTGCCATTTTTAACTTTATTTTCTTTTTCGGTGGTCATATTCTTGCCTTTTTACCATCAGGCAATATTAAAAAAGAATTTTTTTTTTTTATATAAAATCAAACCTTCTATAGTCACTTAAACCTTCTGACGATCACCTATCCAAACGTGGCCGTGAATCTTTAGTGAAAACGCTGGAAATTCATTGAAAATTTTCAATAAAAAAATAATTTTCGGCGGGAGGAAGTTCGCCGAGTCTGCTAGTATTAAATAAACTAAAGTAACATAGGAAACATTTGCTAAAATGTCGTTTCGCTATTTATTTTTCCACCACTGTAAATCCTTTTAATTAGTGTTAAGTACATATGTACGCGCCCATTCAAAGTACTATTTATTTATTTTCGCAACTACGCTTTTCATTTCTGCACTTGCAATTTACGGCGCAACGCATCATTGTTGCATTGCAGACTAAATAGCAGATTTTTATAGAGTTATAGTCATGGTCATTTTCATTTCTTCCCTGTTGACTTTGCATTTATGGCTTTTATTTTGCATGCAAAATGTGGGGTATGTTTTTTACCCTTAAAATTGTTGACATTGCTTTATAGTGTCTTCAATTGCGCGGTTTTACTTTCACCTGACAGGCATTTACATAATTTGTATGTTATATCGGCGTTTAAAGTACCTACAAATTTTATAGTAGGGCGGAAGTACTGTCTTATGCTCTACCCAGAATTGCAGCGTCCAACGGTAAAGCAGTCGACGGTTAACCGCTTTCAAAATTAGAACTCACAAGCGCATATGGAATAGCTCATATTTGCGGCGGCAGCGTTTTTACCGCCGACGTTTTTTCGGAAAATTCCACTTTCACCTGTGTTAGCAAACATTTATATGCTCATAACAATATTACTGGACCTGAAAAATTGGTTCAAAATGCCAAAAGTGCGCCCAAAACACCCACAAAATATCTAATTCTTATATATTTAAATTGTTCATATCAGGAGATCTTTTTAAGTGTGATGCCACATTCTTAAAATCTTATACAAATTCGGCAAAAATCGCGTCACACGGCAACACTGGATTGCTTTGACAGCACTTGCAGCAAAAATGAAACTTACTAGTGCAGCACGAGCAAGTTAAAATTATTTTTCGAAAGCGATTTGCGTAATATCAGTTGCGGGTACACCTTGCAATTTTTATTTCCGAAAGTGATTTCAGTAAATCTGCCAAAACGACTTTCTGGCTGTTTACACGGGAAAGTATAGACTTTCGATTTCGCAATTTGACAGCAAAAAGCGTATATAAAGCGTTTACATTGCCACGTTTAATCGTTTACACCTTGAATTTTTTTTCCGAAAGTGAGTTCTGCAAATCTGCAAAAAAGGGGTTTATTTGGCGGTATACACTGGAAAGTAGAGTTACGAACGTGTAATTGTTTTGCCACATTTGTGAATCGTGTGCTAAAGTTGGCTTTAGAGCAACTTCCCCTATATAAAAAAAAATATATATATTTTTTTTAGTGCATTATAGGCGGTCTTTTTTGTTTATTTGTTATTAAAATGGTTATTGATTTTACAAAAAAAAAGAAAAATAGCATACTGCCAGTCATCAAAGAATCGTGAAAAATTGTTTAACAAGGTTATTTTTAATCACAATTTAACACTTTCGCCATTATAAATGTAGTATAAGTAGATAATATTTGTGAATTTTAATAGCCTCAAGCGAAATTCGCAACTATAAAAAATATTTATTTACTGCAGCTTTGATCACATTCATATGATGTACATATGTATGTATGTACTATTTGCACACTTAGATGTGCAAGAGCCAAATGGACGAGTATTGTAGACACATGTGTATGTATATACAAATATATGTATGAGAATATAATAATTAGTTTCTTTAAATAATAACCAAACTAAATTGTGCATACATTTGTACCATGCTTGCTGGTATATGAAAGCTTGTGTGTTCAGCTCTTCATATTTCGCTTGGGAAATTGGTACATATGTATATGTACTATGTATGTACATTTGTATTTACACACATACATAACTTTCTTTTGATTTTCTTTAAACATTTGCGCTGTACTATGGTATTCACGATCACTTTCATCTTATTGATTGTTGCCTTCACGCTGTCATTATTGCTTTTACTGTCTGTCTGACGTTTTTTCCACTGTCTAATGCCTTAAACTTAACCACGTCAGAGAATTTGGTCGTTTGGTGATCGGAGCAGTGTCTGGCGGGGAGGCGAGCGAGTGAGTGAATAATCAGTGCAAGTAGTTTAATGATTAGCTCTTTTGATTTAAATATGTACTATGGATGAACATTCATAGGCCCATTACGTAGACACATTCAAATATAAGTACCTGCTAATTATGACTAGATGTATGTATTATGTCACCCCCAGTCAGTTTTTACTACTTTTCTTTTATTTTTTTTTAAGGTTCATTATTTTTATATAAAAGTATAGTCCTTATCTAACAAATACCATATAAATCTAAATTTCAGACTTTATACAAAAATTATAAAAATTAGACAAACTTGTAATTCCAATTCCATGCACTTTAATTTAAATTTCTAGAATAATTTTTGGTATGCAGTTTTATAGCTTATTAATTTATAGTATAATAAAGTGCAAGTTTAAAGTTGATAAATAATCGTGTTGATTTTTGATAGGTTTTTTGCTGACGGTGTTATGCACTCTTTTCCGCATAAAAAATTACTTTGTAACGTTTGGCGTTTCCTTTTCTAAAACTATTTTCCTTGCCATAAGTCATTGCGATTACAAATTTGAGGTGTTACTTTGGGTAACTTTTGTAATTGCTATGAGTATAAAGGCATAAACTGTGCACATTTCAATTCTTCTACGAAATTTCGGAAGAAAATCGTTAAAGCAATGTAAATAATGCTGCTATGTGAAGAATTTCTTACAGAATTTTCTTAATTTTTTCGTACGTAAATTTCCTTCCGAGTTCGTTTCAACTACTTCATATAATTTTCTTTGAAGAATTGTAAAAAAAATCGTTTCAGCAATGAGATACTCCTAAAGATTTCGTGAACTTTGGTTTGCAGGGTTGCTTTATTTTATTTTCAAATGTCAAATGCTAGATTTTTTTTAATTGGTACAACAAATACGAAACACGATTTCTGTCAGATAGCTAGCATGGTGGATAAGAAGAAGAATAAGTGAAACTGCCTTCTAAAAGTCATAGTATTTATCTTGGTACATACTGTCTATGCGGCTGACCTCTCTGGTCATTTTCAATCTCGTAACCTTCCAAATCAGCAGATATCAACACACCTGAGAACAAACTAATTTGATCAATAAGAAATTGTTTAAATTACATATGTAAAACTAAAATTACGACACCATCTTTGTTCAAAAATTTTAATAACTCAATTACTGTCAATTGGCATCGGCTACACAAGCAACAACGCAATGAGCTGAGGCGATTTTTTTAGTACAAATCCATAAGAAATGTACATATGTATGTATTGTGTATTTGAGTTGTGATCTCGCATTCAACATCGCTCGATGTCACTGTAGGTCAATTATATGCGTCGATACTGATTTTAATTAAAAAATAATAATATATTCAGAAAAAGTCAGCTAAATGCAAGCGAACACAATAGCAAAGTACGAGTACCGAAGATACGGAGTGAGCATAAGGAATACGAATTGAGCACAGGTAAAATAGCTAATTGTTAAAGTATAAATTTTTGTTAGGAAAAACTACGTAATATATATTATACATTGCAAGTATTTTCTTCAGACGCTGGCAGCACGTGTGTGGCTTTTATGTATGTATGTATCTGAAAGTTTTTCATTTTTGTAAAC